AAATTACATAGTGCCTCCACTCTATGATTCTGTGTTCCTTAGAATGAATTAAATCCCTGTGTGCCAATGTGTTAAGGTCTCCAAGACATGCTGTGAGAATGGAAAACTCCAGGTGCAGGAACAATACACATAGTGAGGTCCCATGTGTTTATATATCATACAGATGTGAATGCACAGGTGTAGATCTGGAAGAGCATGCAACACACTCATCAGGGTTTACTAAGAATCAGCTTGGGGGTGTGGAAAGGTGAAGGGAGGACTCTACCTTTTGTTAAAAGTAAGTGTTTTTTAAGAAAAATAGATTTATGATAGCAAAAAAATATTTAAGCATCTACACTAATAAAAGAGAAACATGGTAATTGGCGTACGACGCTACCCTTCCCATTGGCTAATCAGCATATCCTTATGCAAATTAACTGTCAGCCAAGATGGTGGCTGTCAGCCAAGATGGCGGCCGGCAGCCAGGCAGCTGGAAGCGAGCAGGGAGGCTTGCTTGCTTCAGTGACTGCATATATCATACAGATGTGAATGCACAGGTGTAGATCTGGAAGAGCATCATGCAACACCATCAGGGTTTACTAAGAATCAGCTTGGGGGTGTGAAAAGGTGAAGGGAGGACTCTACCTTTTGTTAAAAGTAAGTGTTTTTTAAGAAAAATAGATTTATGATAGCAAAAAAATATTTAAGCATAACTTAATAAATATCCAAAATCTATGTGAGGAAAGTAATAAAACACTCCCGAAAAACACAAAATTAGATGTGAACAAATGGAAACCCACACCATGGAGAGGAATAATCAACACCATAAAGATGTTATTCATAAATTAATTTATAAATGTAGTCTTATCTCAAAAATAACATCAATAAGGTGTTGTTGTTTTTTCTGTATCTAGAGAAGTTGATTATAAAGATCATTGTGATAGACTAGCCTGAATTTGAGCACTTATCACAGTAATTGCAGATGTGGTTGTCTCTCTCCTGTGCTTGACCTTGAGGGCTAATCTTTCTTGGTATCCCTAACATAATAGCTGACCTATAGTAAATCCTCCAAAATGGTTAACTTTTCCTGAGGGCGCACTCAGGACTACTCAGTATTTATGTTCTACATGGTCCTACACCACCCCATTCGTGTCATTTATATCTCTGACAGCTCATAACTAAGCTTGGTCCTTATGTTGCTCGATCTTTGTTATTTCAAGCTGTTGTACTGAAGCTAAGTGGTTTGGTTTTGTTTTGTCTTGTTTTGTTTTAACTTCAGCCCTCTGGTTTCTCATTCATGCAAATATGGTACTTTTTCAACTTGTTATCCTGCAGGGTTCTGCTTTCATTGCAGTGCTTTTCTGGAAACTGCCTAAATTAAGATCTTACTTTTTTCCATTGTAATGGTGTTATGATTCTAACAAAGGACTGAGAATCAAATAACAGTCATCAAAGGTATATCATACAGTCAAAGATTATGAACATTCATGATTTAAAATTGTGAAAATTACTATTAAAAGGCCCTAATATTGAATTGTCTATGCAAGATAATTCTGTATGAAATAAAGTTTGCACAACTCCTAGTTCATGGGTTGACGCTCAACTACTGAGCCACACCAGCTGGTCCTTTTTTTCTTTTTTTTTAAGAATCCTGTCTGACTTATTCTTTTATCTTCCTTCTCTTTACTATACTTTTGAAAATATTGATCCTTCTCCCAGTTCTTCTCCAAGTTGTAGTGTTCAGAAATACAGTTTCCATTAAACATGGAGGATAACTGGAAAACTTCCTCTCTTTTTAAAATTATTTTACTGTTTAAATCTCCACACTCTTTACTGGTGAGCTCCATAAACTGCCTTGTTCCTTTTCATAGTTTTGGTTTAGACAGCTTGCCATCGCCTTCCTTGCGAAGTCTACTCTGAGCTGTGTCTCTGCTGAAGTCTTCTTAGCATATGTTCTCTTAGCAGCACAAGCAGTTATTGTTCTTCGTACCCAAGTCTAGTATTTTTTTCTACTCTGCACTCAGTTCTCAGAGTTTAACAGCTTCTGGAAAATAGGCCACTGTCTTTACCCTTCTGGGATTTAAGTAGGCACATTTTAAAATTTATATCTTTGTGAAGATTGAAAGAGAAATAGATGCCGAAGGCTGAAAGGAGTTTCTGGAGACAGTCTATGTATTAATTACCCTCCTACCCTGGGCCGTTCTCCATAAAGGCATCCTAGCAGAAGCTTGGTGAGTTGGGGAGACTGTGTGGAGTGGTGGAAGGACAGTAGGTTGTGGAAAAGATGGGTTCAAATTCCTGCTTCATCATTTTCTAGCTATGTGAACTTGGGCAAGTATGTTACCTTGGTCGATTTCTTCTGTAGAATGGGGAGAATATGACCTGCCTCCCTAGCATGGCAGAGGCACTGATCAGGGGCCTTTGTTCAGAATAAATAAAAGGACCCCCTACTGTGTGGCCATAGCCAAGCAAGGTGCCCCTTAGCTGGGCACCCTGATGCAGTGCATAACCTGAAACCTACCCAACCACGGTGCAGAGGTCTATCACCTTCCATCATTAGGGGCAAGCCTGGGAAAGGGCTGGGCAGGGGGACAGTAATGGGGCTGCCTGGTTGCTTGGCAGGGAGTTAGCACCTTTACCTTCTAACTGCTTTCACACCGGTTTTCATCACACCACTGGCAATGTCATATTAGCATGTTAGCGCAAAGGTGTCACCCTTGGAGAAGGTGCTCAGGGAAGTAATCCCTCTTCCCTGCTGGTCTCAGGCCCCCACCTTCTGCCTCCTCCACAGACTGTTGAAGTCCTGCTGAGACCACGAATAGGAAAACATTCAGAACATAACACAAACACTGACTTTCTTACTCGTTCTCTTTTATATTCCTCCAAGGTAGTCTGGCATTTGTTTAGGCTTTCTCCTACTGTTTTCTGTTCCTGGGATTCCATGGTATAATGCTTGACCCCAAGATAAATGAAGGACGCTCCACTTAGATATTAGATAAAAATTAAAAGTTTTACTTATATTTACCTTAAAGGGAAAAGAACTAAGCTTTTCTAATATTTGACATAGAGATTGACAGTACTTTATGGATATACTTATGAATAAACATAGATATACTGAATGGGCATGCTCAACATTTTTTCTCTAGCATGGGTAAGTGATAATATTCTATGAAGACCACTGTTCAGTTCTCACACCTCTGTAGCCCTGAATCCTCTGAATGCAATTACGTTTGTTATTCTTCTTTTGATTTATATAAGTATTGGCCCCCTAGTTTACATTTTAGGACAGAGCTTTTATAAATTCTGTGGTGAAACTTGCCCTTCCCCCCTTCCTCTAACCTCTCTTTTTACATTGTTATCTGCTTAGGATATGGGAAAATTTAAGCTTTTCCCCCAAAACAGGAATAACTCATATGGTAATTTTTAAATTACTATCAAGTTGGGATCCTTTTGGTTTAATCCTAGAAATTCAGTAAAATAAAATAAGAATGTTGACTCTGGGTCCTGGTGGGCTGGGCTAGATGACATGAGCAAATGATGTAACCTCTCTGTGTTTTGGTCTCCTCATCTGTGAAATGGGAATAATAGGAGTGCCTGCCTCATCAGGTTAAGGTGACAATTAAAAGAATTAATACCCATTACATTTTTAAAGTAGTCAGTTGCATGTTAAATACAACATAAGCTTGCTGCTGCATTACTATAATAACCATCCTTATCTTCATTTCTAGAAGAGATGTGGTCCACATACAGACCTATGGCAACTCTGAATTGGAAGGACTAGTGTCAGTTCTGGGTTCATTCACTTTCTCAGCAAATGTATGCTGGTGGTCTTCTATGTACCAGGCACTCTACTCTGTTGGATGCTCCACCTCATTGTCAGACCTTGTAATTCTGTCTGGTGGGCTGTATCTCCCATGTCACCAGTTTGTAGCCTTAACAGTCCGCTTTGCAGTGGATTCAGTTTCTATTTCTCTAGTCAATATAAAGGACTTAGCTGTTGCCAAATTACTAAACATTTGCTGTTGCAGAATTACTGAACACTATGGATTTCTAGTCATTTGATATTTTAAGGTACAAGTAGACTTTCCCTGCATTATTAATTCCACATATTATTGCTGTCAATTCCTTGGTTATTACTCCTCTGAACTGTTTGCTTATTGTTCACTGAGTCCCAGTTCCATGTGTTTCTCTCTGGGGGTGACTCCTCCAGATCGATTCAAGCTGTATTCTGCCTCATACTACCTAATCTTCTCAAAGGATACATTCTCTCTTACCCAAATTGCAATCTTATGAGACTGCTAGACATTCTTATGCTGGCTTAAAATTTTTTTCAACAAATTGCAGTATTTATTGAGGGAGAGAAGTTCTCAATGTAATACTTTGAAAAGCAAGCAAGATTAAACATACTTGTTTCACTCTTGAACACCTGTGTATTCTTTCCCCTCTCTCTGAAGATATGGTTTTTATAAAAGCTTGGGAAATTCCCATCCTATTAAAACCATTCACTTTCATCTGTGCATGTCGTCCAGGGTATGGTTAGAAGGAGAAGAGGAAATTGTAAAGACAGGCATTTCTTCCATATTTTCTCCTTTCAATCCTTTCACTTCTCATACACAAGTGAATCTAAATCTTGGGAGCCATCCAGCTCAAGATTGAGCCTGATAAAGGGATGTACTTCCCAGACCAATGACTGGTTCTCCCAGGCCCCAGCGAGAGAGAGAAAATGCAACATTTTAAAAATACATGACAGTTATTTAAAGATTTATTTTGTTATGAATCATTCTGTGTCAACAAAACTGCGGTGTTTTATGTCATAACTTAGACGTGATTAACAAAGTCATAAATTTTCATTTTTCCAACATGCGGGTTAAGAATAAAACATTGTGCAGGAATTGAACATTGTATTCTCCAGACAAAGGAAATGGACATTTATTGGATGTTATTGCTGCTTTCTTTGCACTAATGACATTATGAAAGCTCTTTGAATAATATAATTTGAAAATATTATTTCTGTGTTTCAGGTCATGCAAGACAAGATCATTTGCCTTCCGAAAAGAGTTCAGCCGTCTGAGAACCACTCTTCCGTTCTGAATGTCTCTCAAGCAGTTGCCGGAACCACCCCACTGCCTCCACCTAACCCATCTTCGACTAACCCGGTCACTGTGGAAATGAAAGGCCTGAAGACAGATCTGGACCTTCAGCAGTACAGCTTTATAAACCAGATGTGCTATGAGCGAGCCCTCCACTGGTATGCCAAGTACTTCCCTTACCTTGTCCTCATCCACACCCTGATCTTCATGCTGTGCAGCAACTTTTGGTTCAAGTTCCCTGGTTCCAGCTCCAAAATAGAACATTTCATCTCCATCCTGGGGAAGTGTTTTGACTCTCCCTGGACCACACGGGCTTTATCGGAAGTGTCTGGGGAGGACTCAGAAGAGAAGGACAACAGGAAGAACAACATGAGCAGGTCCAACACCATCCAGTCTGGTCCAGAAGGCACCCTGGTCAACTCGCAGTCATTAAAGTCAATTCCTGAGAAGTTTGTGGTTGACAAATCCACTGCAGGGGCTCTGGATAAGAAGGAAGGGGAGCAAGCGAAGGCCTTATTTGAGAAGGTGAAGAAGTTCAGGCTGCATGTAGAAGAAGGTGATATACTATATGCTATGTATGTTCGCCAGACTGTACTTAAGGTTATAAAATTCCTAATCATCATTGCATACAACAGCGCCCTGGTTTCCAAGGTCCAGTTTACAGTGGACTGTAATGTTGACATCCAGGACATGACTGGGTATAAGAACTTTTCTTGCAATCACACCATGGCACACTTGTTCTCAAAACTCTCCTTTTGCTACCTGTGCTTCGTAAGCATCTACGGGCTGACGTGCCTTTACACCTTATACTGGCTGTTCTACCGCTCTCTAAAGGAATACTCTTTTGAGTATGTCCGACAGGAGACTGGAATCGATGATATTCCAGACGTGAAAAATGACTTTGCTTTTATGCTTCATATGATAGATCAGTATGACCCTCTGTATTCCAAGCGATTTGCAGTGTTCCTGTCTGAAGTGAGTGAAAACAAATTAAAGCAGCTGAACTTAAATAACGAGTGGACTCCCGACAAGCTGAGGCAGAAGCTACAGACGAATGCCCACAACCGCCTGGAATTGCCTCTCATCATGCTCTCTGGCCTTCCAGACACTGTCTTTGAAATTACAGAGTTGCAGTCGCTAAAGCTTGAGATCATTAAGAACGTGATGATACCAGCCACCGTTGCGCAGCTAGACAATCTCCAAGAGCTCTCTCTCCACCAGTGCTCGGTCAAAATCCACAGCGCAGCGCTCTCCTTCCTGAAGGAAAACCTCAAGGTCCTGAGCGTCAAGTTTGATGACATGAGAGAGCTGCCCCCTTGGATGTATGGACTCCGGAATCTGGAAGAGCTCTACCTGGTTGGCTCTCTAAGTCACGATATTTCCAAAAACGTCGCCCTGGAGTCTCTGAGGGACCTCAAAAGCCTTAAAATCCTCTCTATCAAAAGCAACCTTTCCAAGATCCCTCAGGCAGTGGTGGATGTGTCCAGCCATCTCCAGAAGATGTGCATACATAACGATGGCACCAAGCTGGTGATGCTCAACAATTTAAAGAAGATGACCAACCTGACCGAGCTGGAGCTGGTGCACTGTGACCTGGAGCGCATTCCTCACGCCGTGTTCAGCCTGCTCAGCCTCCAGGAATTGGACCTCAAGGAGAATAATCTGAAATCTATAGAAGAGATCGTTAGCTTCCAGCACCTGAGGAAGTTGACAGTGTTAAAACTGTGGCATAACAGCATCGCCTATATCCCAGAGCATATAAAGAAACTCACCAGCCTGGAGCGTCTGTCCTTCAGTCACAACAAAATAGAGGTGCTTCCTTCCCACCTCTTCCTATGCAACAAAATCCGATACTTGGACTTGTCCTACAATGACATTCGTTTTATCCCCCCTGAAGTCGGAGTTCTACAAAGTTTACAGTATTTTTCCATCACTTGTAACAAAGTGGAGAACCTTCCAGACGAACTCTACTTCTGCAAGAAACTTAAAACTCTGAAGATTGGGAAAAACAGCCTATCAGTACTTTCACCAAAAATTGGAAATTTACTGTTCCTTTCCTACTTAGATCTTAAAGGCAATCACTTTGAAACCCTTCCTCCCGAACTAGGTGACTGTCGAGCTCTGAAGAGAGCTGGTTTAGTTGTGGAAGATGCCCTGTTTGACACTCTGCCTTCTGATGTCCGGGAGCAAATGAAAACAGAATAACTTATTTTTGTTTAAAGTTTGACTGAAACATGCTTCTACCAAATACAGTATAAATAATTAGGTAGTGTTAATGCCTTTCCAGTTTTTCTTTTCACACAAAACAAAATGTACACAAAGATCAAGTCAGGAGTATGTATTTTTAAATAAAAATTTAATTGTATTTTTTCAATATTAATATTTTAAAGTTTTATTTGTCTTGGAACCTAATGTACCTATTATTGTTTTTTACTAACAGAAACTGATGGTTCCATCTGTTTTTTGTTTTGTTTTTGTTGTTTTTGTTGTCGTTGTTTTTCAGTTAATTCTTGTGAAAGGGAAAGCATTTTAAGTTGCATGCTTCCAGGTGTTTTTTTAAATAGATGAAGATATTTTGCCAAGGTCATTGTTAGCTTGTTTACACCTGTACAGTTCCTTGCTCTTTCTGTCATTGTGTGTATACCAAGGAATCTGTGCTAGTTATTTTAATACCAGCTGCCTTCTCCATTGACCAAGCCCTTCATTCTATAAAACACTCTTTTCTGGAGTTTAAATTCACATAAGTGCATTGACACAAACTATTTTCTTTAAATTCGCCCGCCCCCCACCTCCAAGAGAATCCTAAATTACGTTATTTCATATACCTGACAGTTAAAGTTATCCTTAGGCAAGGATTTTTTTAAGTGAGTGAAGATAATAATTTCCCATAGTTGGCATGCTTGAATTCGTCATTTATAATTTAATCAATTACCATTTTTACCAACATTTAAAAATATGTAAAAGCTAAATACAGAGGCTCCCCCCATAAATCTCAATATAGCTAAGTAGTACTGGTGAGCAACCTTAGAGAAGCTAGATTTATTTTCATTAAAACAGGTAATTAAATTTAAAAATCATAGAATTAGAAGCCTGGTTTTTTGAGTAATTTAATCATCTTTGATGTCTTGATATGTAGATACATCAGATGGAAAAATATTTCACTACTAAAGCATTCTGTTAAAGAGCTGGTACACGCCAGTCAGGCCCACTGGTTCCTCCGGGCAGTGTGGCAGTGGAATCTATTCAAATTCTGCCTGCTGCACAAAATAATCCACATATTTATATATATAATCAATTCCCCTCAAGTCTGCCCTTGCTGTGACGCTAGTGATTCAAACACAGGAACCCTGTATGTCCTCTTTGGCTTAAAATAAGTATATCATGTAGAATGGTTCTATTACATTTTTCTGAAATTGCTAAGTGGATATCACTTAGCAATTTTGCCTGATGATCAGTAGAGCTTTCATGTCTTTGTACTTAAAAATCCAACATTTTCTAGGTCGTGGGCAAAATTTTTCGCTAACTGTAAAAGTGTTTGGAACAGAAAATGAAAACACTATTTGTGCCCACAATCCAGGACCAGTACTACTGATCATGGAATTTTGTTCTGTTTACCAGATCACCTGGACCATTTGCCAAGCCCTAGTCTCCTCTACGAAAGTTCTGTGGCTTAACAATGAGAGAAAGTAGGAAGATGCTTTGGGGTTTCAAAATGCTGCCTTTAAAATTTGCCCCTTGATCCTGGTGACGTTGCTCAGTGCTACTTTGAGTCATATGAAACACAACCACAGGAACTACTCAGCAGATACATGTGCCTCAGTCGTGTGTTTAATATTGCAGTACAGCATGGGGTGAAGAATTGGGGAAAGATGCTTTTCATTTACTTAATAATCTAATCCTGTAGACCAAAGTGCTTCACATTTCTGCTCTATGTCCAAGGGTTAGAATGGTGATTAATATAACTGATTTATTTCAACCTGCAATTGAAACAATAGTAACATGTTATATTTCTTGTAGGGTAAAATATTCAACTCCAGAATATTGTTAGGATCCTGATTATGAACAGTGTGCTGCTGCACAAAATAATCCACATAATCTCTCATATTAATGTGCTATATTTAGAAACATAGGCCTGTTTTAAACAAACAAAAAACCTGGAAGATTGTCCATAGTTGAGGATGTCAAAAATACCCCCTTGAAAGGTAAACTTCAAGAGCTACTGTTAAAACACTGGGTGCACTATTTTTCTGTATAAAATTTATGGTTATTTTCTATATCACTCTTCAAAAGGGATCTATTCAGGTTCAAAATCATATTGATGCTAAAGTCTTTATCTGGTGTTAACTCATAATCTCACATGGGTTCATAACTGAAGTAAGTCACTAGTAATTATTTTATCACTTAATAACAACTTGCTCAAAATTCTAAAAGAACTCGATTTGCTTTCTTAAAGAGTCCGCAGGCTGACCCTTCACCCAAGTTCTAAATAACATCCAATAAATCAGCATAGTTCCATGACTTTCTGTTTTCACTAAAAAGGAAAATTCATAGATGTTTCTATTAGCTTTTTTAAAAATTCAAAATTCTCAAACTCTATCTTGAGTCGAAATTTTCTAACGCTGGCCCATTTTAATATTATAGATTTTTGTTCACATTCTTAAGTAAAAAAGCATTCAAGTATTTTGCCTTTAAAAGAGAAACTCAGGTAACTAATCTGCTCACTTTTCTAAAGTCCTTTAATAGATCCACTTCATATAAAAGGGATGTTTACCTAATCTTTTCCCATATTTTATAAATGTTCTTGCTAAGAAAAAAGAGAGAGAACTTCTATAGGATCCATGGGAAACTGCTTGTATAAATATAAAAGCACCATATATACTCTAACTCCTTTGGGTGCTTGAAGCCCATAACAGCTAATCTTTTTGGTCTGTTTCAATGGTTAAGTATAGATAGCCTGGCTGATGGGCTGGTTGAAACGGAGCGTATTAAGTATATCCCAATGGAACTCGCCTAAGATCACACCTCAGAAAACTAGTTATGTGTTGGGTTTTCATTTCATTTGTTTTTAACTGCACTTTTAATATAAAGGTTCTTGATACAGTAAAATCTGTTATTTACAATTTTTTATTGTTCACCCACCCTTTTTCCTGCCACACATTCCCCGTATAGCTAATCGTAGTGAGTTCTAACAGTTTACATGGCATCATCCTGCTTTTTCATAACGGTATGGGAAATATGCCTGCTGTCAGTATTTTGTTCATTTAGAGGTGACTCCTTATCTGTCTCTCAAGGCCTTGAGTTACTTGGGATGAGGAAAGTTTAAGTTCCTGCAATATGATCTCTGATATTAAGGAAGAGAAGACAAAATCTTCACATCTCTTATTGCCGTTTCCCCCAAGAGGTGTTTTGCTGTTATTTATTTTTCTCATTCTACTGTAAGAAAAGTTCATTTTTAAGTAGTTTATTTTACTCTCTAATTTCATACCTGATCAATAGTAATGACATATTTACTTAAACAGTGGGCATTCATGATCCATCTGTATGCAAACTGTCAGTAGTACTTAGTAATGAATAGATAAATTTCAATATAATTTCAATTTGTGTTTAGAGACTAAATTAAGATTCAATTCATATTCTCCTATTAATACTGAATGTGATCATGTTATTCAGACAGTTTACATTGGGTAGGATCTCAATAACTCAGGGTCCAGTTCCATACTAAACCTAAATTAGCAAAACAACACAGTTGTTAGTGAAGGGGATGTCTCGAAGGTCTAAGCTTTTCTCATCTTTCCTTGTCTATTAAGACACATTGTAAGAAAATCTGGACAGTCTCAACCAGACCTGCTGCTGGCTTTTCAGATTCACGCTTCAGTGACATGCTTAGGGATCCACTCTTATTTCATGTTCTCAAGCCAGTCACTGACACAGGTAACATCCCTAGGTTCATTTTGGGTAGAAGGAAAAAGGACCTCCTCCCACCCCCAAGGAAATTTTTTTAAATTAGAAGACCTTGAAAGGGGATATATACATTTGAACTTAATTTCTTGACCATATTAAAAACAGTTATTACGCATGGTTTTTAATGTGATATAAATTTGCTTTCTGCTAATTACCATTCCCCCTCCCACCTGATTCTGTCTCTTTAATGACTATTTTACTAAGTTTGAAATCCAACGCCTTACGTGCTCACTCAGTTTTCCCTCGGCCTCGTGTTTTCTCTCCCTGTCTGTATGTGTTCACATTGTGTCGAATGCTGGCAAAACCTCTAAGACTGTCAAGAAAATGCTTGAAATTTGATTTGTCGTCGTGCAAATTCATGGTAAAATGTCTTAATGTTATTTGGCTATGTAGTACGTAGGAACAGAAAATAACTTAAATAAAGTCATTTTTGTAATGTAAAATTGGGATTTGTCCCTTTCTTACTCATTTGAAGAACTCCTGTTTACCTTTGGCATTTCTGTTGTGTTTTTGCATATTCTGTTACTAAGGCTCCCTGTACTCTGCAGGAAATGGGCTGCATGCATTCTTTCACTTTGTGTTTAGCTAGTTTCTGCAATTGTGACTAATTATTTCCTTCCTTAATTCACTGTACTGCATCTACCCAAGGTGCCCCTGGAGTTTCATTTGGGTAATTAGTGCCATAATGTGTAATATGCAATTTCTGTACATGTGCCAGATCAGATTGTACAATTGCTATCCAGCCAGCCCAGCTTTCTGTAAATACTTGGTAAATGACTGTGGTTACTTAAAGGGGTCAGAATGGTTCTGCACAGCTAGGAGGACTCCCCTGGTTAACCACATATGCTCCAGGAGTAGGAAAGCCTTTCATAAGAACACTTGTGCCACTTATACATAAAAGTTTGTGATTGGTAACTTTTGAAACTAAATTATGACTTTGCATATTTTTCTATGGTCACTTATGGCTCAGTTATTTTACTGATAACCAACTGACAGTCCTTTGAAGAAGGACTATTGAGATGAAGGACGGAGTGTGGCGGAAGGGGCCATGTGAATGTGTGCATCAGACACTTAGAAGGCATTGTGTGAGAGTTCTGGAGGAATTTTGGACAAGAACTGAGAAATGCAACATATGTAAATCTTTGAATACGGGTTATACTTTAAATTTCATACTTGAATGTATTTGAACAAAGAAGGTGCAAAAATGATCAGGATGCCATAAGTGATAGAGTGTTTTCAGAATTTGAATATTTTGCATAAAAGACACAGCATTAGGCAAAGATGTTAACACCAAACATCTAAACAAATTGGCCATTCTATTTACTATGATTCATGGATTCTTCTATTATAATTATACTAGAGGCCCGGTGCATGAAAATCCATGCACTGGAGGGGGGTCCCTCAGCCTGGCCTGCCCCCTCTCACAGTCTGGGAACCCTCAGGGTCAGGAGGCGACCCAGTAATCAGGGGAAGGTGACGCCCCATCACACCTATGCTGCTGCCACTGCCAGCAGCGCAAGCCTCGGCCGGCCCTGATTGTTACCTGCGCCTCGGGTGGTCCTGGGCAGCTGGGGGGCTAAGGGGACTGGGGGACTCTGGAGGCAGATGCGTGGAGTGGCCAGGCCCACCTGGGGGGCTGAGGGGACTGGGCGCCACCATCTTGTGGCTGTGGGCGCTGCCATCTTTGAGAGCGTGGCAGTCATTTAGCATATTCCCTCCTTATTGGCTGTGGGTGCTGCCATCTTTGAGGGCAGGCAGTCAATTAGCACATTCCCTCCTTATTGACTGTGGGCGCTGCCATCTTTGCGACGATGTGAGGGTCAATTAGCATATTCCCTCTTTATTAGATAGGAAAGTTTGGGAACAAGTAGAAGATGGACTTTCTCTTCAGTTTATTTCTTTAATTCTTTTTTTTTTTTAAATATATTTTATTGAAAGTTTGGGAACAAGTGGAAGATGGACTTTCTCTTCAGTTTATTTCTTTAACTCTTTAAGGAATTAATTTCATTTCAACTCAAGTTACATCTAGACATCACCATTTTTAAAAAGATGTTTTTGTTCCATCTTCTTAGTAGTCTCAGGCAACATAGATCTTGGGAAAAGTGACACAAAAGAAGCAACATGTAAGTTTTGTATTTTATCTCTCTTCCATAGTTCTTGTTAAAAAAAATCAACTTCCTAGCAGTGATTTTGATAAAGAAAACATTATAACATTTCTTCTATTTGATATGCAAAGATTCTTGGGGTTCCCTTATAATTTTACATAAACTATGTGGAGTAATTTTGTTAAAATAATACTCCAAGTAACATTTGGACAGCTTTGAACATACCATGTTAATTTAATCAAATAATAATTAAAACCAATGCAACACATTAAGGCATACTCACTGTAGGTTTGAAGACTAAATGTCCACAAATTTATGCAATAGTTGATGAGTTCCATTTGTGCCTACTGAGTTATATGTATAAATTATAATTCTTAGTGATTGAAGTTGCTTTATGAAAAATACTTTGTAGCATAGCCAATCTCAGCAAAAACTTGAAAGCTCATGTATATCAATGATCTCTAAGTGGTGTTAAAGAAAAAATTATTCTGACATTTGTTAAAATGTTAAGGAAGACTTTATTCAGGATTTTTTCTTAACTCTCCCCAGGTCCTATGTGACTCAGACTTTCTGGGTGGTCACTTTCCGAGCCTTAAGAGCCTTAACAAGGTCAGCACGCTAACAGATTTAGTTGTTCTATGCACCCAGAAACAAAGACAGGATGTTGACAGCCTTTATTTAATGAGAAAATGTTTAAAATAAGTTTATGCTTGGGCAACTGAAAGCTAGAGATTTAGCTTCAACCAGAACTACTCAGTCTAACCATTTAGCTACATAAATATTTTGTCAAGTCCAGATAACCTGTGTCCAATGTCAAATACAAAGAATGCCACAGAAATTACATACCTGATTTACATTACATAAGACTTGCTTATGGAGGGGAGGAGGAAATGGAAGTGTGGAGGCAGAAAAGTAATTTTCCTTCTACCCTCCTAAATTCTTCTGGCTGGACTAATAATCAAATTGACATGAGACAGATTAACAGAAGAAAATGACCAAATTTATTATGTATGTACACACGGGGGTTCTATAAGACTGTGAGACCTGAGGACATATTGGATAGTTGAGGCTTACATGCCATTCTGGACTAACAAGAGGGAGGGCGGAGTCTGGAATTTCAAAAGGAGCCAGGCGATTCACAGGTAGATGAGAAAGAGCAAACAAGTGGCAAATATTTATTTGGCCAACTGAAAACAATGGGACACAACAATGGGAATCTAACAAACAGACTTTGCTGGTTCCTCCCTGTCTGCCGCATTTAATTCATACATGCTAAGGGCAATACACCAAGGCTCCCTTCCCAAAGCAGCTTGTCCTATTTGAATTTCTTAGGCTGGTAAGGAGGGGCGGGGGTAAAAACAAAACAGAAAACTCTTCTTCCGTTTGCTGGGCTTTCATTGTTTTTAACATGAAATAATCTGCATGCCACTGTGGCACTTTCTGGAGAAACTAGTTCTGGACCCTACACTGAACTGGGAGCCTCCTGATAAAAGATGCTCAATACACTTTCTAAAATGCAGGCTGATTTGCCCTACAAATTCTACCAACAACAACGTTAAAACAATCAAATCCCAGTACGGCAAACCAGCTAGACAATTATTTTTAGATAGCTTTCCCTAACTCACTAAATATAAAATTGCTAAAATATATTAGTAGATAAATAAAAGTTTTCTTAAAAAGAAACTTCTAGTGACTTTTGAGGGCTTTAATTATAAATCTGATCAAGAACTTGCATCAAAAATGTCTGAAAGTTGACTCCAAAACCTTAGGTACAGGCATTCTTTTTAAAATCCTCACCCGGCCGAAACCGGTTTGGCTCAGTGGATAGAGCGTCAGCCTGCGGACTGAAGGGTCCCAGGTTCAATTCCGGTCAAGGGCATGTACTTGGGTTGCGGGCACATTCCCAGTGGGAGATGTGCAGGAGACAGCTGATCGATGTTTCTCTCTCATCGATGTTTCTAACTCTCTATCTCTCTCCCTTCCTCTCTGTAAAAATTCAATAAAATATATTTTTAAAAAAAATCCTCACCCGAAGATATTTTTTTTCCATTGATTTTTAGAGAGAGTGGAAGAGAGAGGGAAAGACAGAGAGAAATATCGATGTGAGAGAAACACATCAATTGTTTGCCTCCTGCACATGCCCCAACCAGGGCCCGGGCCAGGGAGGAGCCTGCAATTGAGGTATGTGCCCTTCACCGGAATCAAACCTGGGACCCTTAGGTCTGCAGGCCAACACTCTACCCACTGAGCCAAACCGGCTAGGGCAGGAAGTACTATTTTTAAAAGTTTCCTATGTGATTCTCATGCAGCTAACTTTGGAGACCATCATACTAGATTATAAGCTCGTTGAGACAAGGACAATTTCTTATTTATTTTTGTATTCTTGAGGCTTAACAATATCCAGCACATTATAGGCACCCACAAAAAATAAGATAAATGAATGAACAAAGGTGTACAAAGCCAAACTTGATTGATTCATGACTCTGGCAGTAGTTAGCAACACAATAGCTGTGTCAGGCTAAACCTCTTGGCCTCTAGTTTCTGTGTATTAGCCAACTAGGTAAAGGCTGTTTGTTGTTCTTCAAAATTTCAGAGAGGTTGCACTTTGGGATTAAAGTGGTTGCATGTTGGCCCTGCCAAGTTTGAGAGGGTATGAATAAAAAAAGCTGGAACCAAATTTAAGCAGCAACCTCTAAAATTTCAGAGTAGTGTATACAAAGGATTACTTCAGGCTATTATGTCAATGTTATAAAGAAACAAAAAGATATTTCATTACTTGAATAAACATATGCTTTGTTGTATTATTGGTTTCTTTTCCAATAAAAAGTCTACATGGATTGGATTGGATGGATTTACCAAAAATTATTTTCCATTTTTGTAACACACGAGGACTTGGATGGGTTACCTTTTAGATTCTTCAGGCTAAGTTATTCAGATCTTGTGGGACTCGCTTGAAATTAAAGAGTATTTAATTTTAGTAACAATAAGAGGCCAGTACAGTCTAGAGAGCAGAAAAGGCTTTTAAAAAGAGCTATTATTATTATTTTAATATATATTTTTATTGATTTCAGAGAGGAAGGGAGAGGGAGAAAGAGAGAGAGAGAGAGACCTCAATGATGAGAGAGAATCATTGATTGGCTGGCTGCCTCCTGCATGCCCCACACTGGGGGATCAAGCCCACAACCTGGGCATGTGCCCTGACTGGGAATCAAACCTTGACCTTCTGGTTCATAGGTTGATGCTCAACCACTGAGCAACACCAGCCGGGCAAAAGAGCTATTATTGAAGAGGTCCTTTGTGTGCCTGGGGGAAAAATTGACCTGTAGCAGTTAATTCTA